AGAGAGAGAGAGAGAGAGAGAGAGAGAGAGAGAGAGAGAGATAGAATGAGACAAATAAAAGAGGAAAGTGATAAATAAAAAAAATAGGAAATCAAAGTCGTTTTAACAAAATGATAATCAATTAAGCGCGAAAAGCCAAGCTTTGAAGCGAGGAAAGCTTTATTTTTCGTCATGTTTAATCGTTTTCGTAATAATTGCAAGGCATACAGAGAGAGACAGCCATCTGTATTACAAGAAGGATATATATATATATATATACTATATAATATATAATATGATGTATTTATGTAAGTGCGATTTTCTTATGCTGAAAAAGCAGCAGAAAGGTCAAGAGGAAGGGAATTTCTTAGAAGAGTCTGGGCAAAAGTAGAAGGGGTTGGTTGGTTGGCTGGTTGGTTGGTTGGTTAGGGGTTGTAAGGAATCGTTCGCAGAGCAGCGGCAGGGGTAGCAAGCTCTCTACTTTCAAACATTGCGCCCTAATTCAGATTTCCTTGAACAATTCCTTTCCGATATCCATTTTCTTGAGATTCTCTCTCCTCTAACATAACATAACGATGCGTCTCGCATGTACGTGTGTGTGTGTAATAATGTATATATGTATGTATGTATGCATGTATGTAAGTATGTTTGTATTTGTGTAAAAGACATTGTATATATGCGCGAATTTGCAAGAAAGCGACAGAGAAGGGACGCCCAATCACGTGCACTCATTATTAAGGATCGTGCACACCGTCTAGCGATTAAAAGCATTTTAAAATGATGGTGCCATTGGTGGATTGGAATGGTGTTTACGTAGGACAAATCGTACGAGAAACAGGGCGCTTGGAGGGATGGATGTTTTTTTGTTCAGCTGACAATATATCAAGTGATTTAATTCGATCAGGGGGTTAAGGGTTTCAAAGGGACACGTGAATTTTGTTTACGATTAACATCGAGGATTTCGTTGTTCTAACGGCCACCTGAATGAAACAAATCAAATAAAGAAGATAAAAATGGGGAATGTTAGGTAGTGGTACAAAAAATAGGATCGAATTCGACGATATATAGTCGAATTTCTAAAATCACACACATAATAGATATTTTAGTTTTGATCGAGCTTGGATTTATCCTGAAATTTGACGTCAATCGTCATCGTCGTCGTTTCGTCTTTGTGTCTGTGTGTCCGTGTTGGTATCGGTATCGGTGTTCTTTGAGAAATAAAAAATAATCCAAGACAAATTGGCGCTTATCTTTAACGCGCTTAAAGAGACGATCTTTCGTTGTCTAATTATATGAGTATAGTTAAATAAATATTGAATGTATGTAAACTTTGTCATCGCTAGGCGGGTGCCGATGGTGAGTGTAGTAGTATACAAAGCATGGCCTATATTTGCTGCGGGTAATATGTAAATAATGTATAATAATGCGGCGGAAAGTAAAAGCGAATGTTTGTAAGTATAAACCAACGAGCCAATCAGCGTACAGCTCCGCCATTGCCTCCGTAACCAACGTTCCTAATTTCCAAGGAATCGATAGACCGAAGATTGACATAGATTTCGATAGACGGTCAAAGTATATCGACAATTAAGATATACGATTATACAGTAATGTTTAAATAAATTAGGTAAATCTTGCAAGCTCGTATTTTGTCGACAATCTCTATCTCTTGTACTTTTCCTCGATAGCTGCGTTTAGCAAAAGAAGAAAAAGAAAAATAAGAAAAGATTTGTTTTTTTCTGTTTTTTTTTTTTTTTTTTTGAAAGATAAGGGAGAGACAAAATAATTCATACTGACCCTTTTTTTTTTTTTTTGTTATTAGAGACCCATATATGGATCGTTAACATATATGGGGTTGAACGATACTCGGGTTACTACACCAAAGGGTGTCGTAACGAAAGGATTTAAAAAATAAAAATAAAAAAGAACAAATATTTGCGTGCAAACGCTGATCGATTCGAAAGACAAGAGAAATAAGTTTCGATATGCGAACGAATGAAACGAACGATTGCAGTAGTAGTAGTATTAGTAGTAGTAGTAGTAAGTTTTAACTAGCATCATATACTTTATTGCGTTCATTCGCGTAAGTATCTACATACGTAACATGAAATATACTATGGATAATACATGTTTACATGTATATTACGACGCGTTACGTATGATACGTAATAAACTACGTATAACGTAATTGATAAAATAAAATAAAAGAGAACAATAACAATTAACAATAACAACAATAACAACAAACATCGTTCTATCGACTCTCATGAAACTGGGTACGGGAATTAATCTGAGGTCGATTCGTTCGCGAACGAATCGAATGGACTCGAGCTCGCGCATTCGTTAGGGCGAGTTACCTTAAAAATAAGGTCGCTTTTGCTGAAACCGGACTTCTTTTTACTCATATTGTCAGAACTTAGGCGCCCCCTCCGCTCAGTGCGTTTTTTTTGTAGGTTCTGCAATATCTAGAAACAAAAGAAAGCCGGGACATAGCAAGACATAGTAAGTAAAGGAGACAGGTAATAGAAAGTTTTTATATAGAAAAAAGAAGAAGAGAGTGTATATAGAGAAAGAAATGAAAAACAACAAAAAAAAAAAATAAAAAAAAAATAATAATAAAAAGAAGAAATAAGAGACAGATAGACAGAGAGAAAGAGAGAGAGAGAGAGAGAGAGAGAGACAAACGGATAGATTAGAAAGATAAGAGTATAGTTAGAAAATAGAAAGAGATAGATAGATATAGATAGATAGATAGATAGTTATAGATAGATAGATAGATAGATAGATAGAAAGAAGAAGAAGAAGAAGTAGTAAAGAAGAGAAGAAAGTTGTTAGTAAAGTAGGAAAGAACTCGACTTGGATAAAGATCGGGTAATATTAATATCGCAAGACATTCTTTTCTTTTTTTTCTTTTTCTTTTTTTTTTTTCTTTTTTTTTTTAACTCGTGTTCAGATAAAGTGGAAGCCAAAGATAGAAGAAAACAAGTGTAGCAAAATTTGTAGACAAAGGAACGTATCATCCCATCTTATTTTTTTTTTTCATTTTTAAAAGAAAAAGGATATTCATATCCACACATTATACATAAGGGATTTATTTTTATTTATTATAAATAATATAATACGTATTTGTTATACAGGATGAGATAAAAGTTGTTGTTCTTAGAAAAATCATAAGATTTGGATTAGTTGAAACAGAATTGATAGAATAATCTCAGCCTAAAATTTGGTTGTCAACCCCTCGTTTGTGTTCCACTGTATGTTAATCGATAATCAAACGATTTAAATTGCATTTTTAATATAATTAACACTGATTTGGACAAATTTATATGAATAAATGCATAATAATGAATGAATAAATATGCAAAAATAGTTTGTTTGTTATTATATTTGAACAAAATGACTTTGATCTCAGCCTGTATTGATATATCAAATATATAAGATCAGAATTGGTTGTTGTTGTTGTTCATATTAATAATGGAATAGAAAATTGAAAACAACAAGAAAAATAACTTGGAAATGAATTATTCTTTTTCTTTTTTCCCTGTTAGAGATTATCCCTTTGTCATTTAATTTTGTATCTTTTCTTGTTTTCCACAAATATACCCGTCCCTAGGTAAAAAAAAAAAAAAACGCTGGAAATACACCCGATAATTATTTAAACGTGGCCAAAACCAATTAATGAAAGTTAAGGGACCATATCTCAGTGTAAAATTTGTAAAAGAAAATCGATTTTTTTCTTTTTTTTTGGGTCTTATCTTGAAGTACATATAATTGTGCGTGTTCTGTAAAAGTTTCAAATTTTAATTCGAATTATTACGATTGCTACAAGCTTTCTTGGAAAAGGAAAAGATTGGAGCGTAAGTTGCAGCGCGCGTTAAACTTTAAACGCGTTTTTCTCAAAATGCCCTTTTTACAAATGGTGTCAACTCTCAAAAGGGAGAATTTTCAAACTATCGACTTGACATTTTTTTTAATTTTATTCTTTATGTCCCTATGGAAGCTTTTTCTTATCTTTTTTTTTTCTAATTCTTCCTATTTTCTTAAAAATTCGCTAAATTTCGACTAAATTTCGTACTTTTTCATCAAACCGTCGCCATTTTGTCAAATTTCAAAAAAAAAAAAGTAAAAACCACCATAGGGACATAGCGGCTTCCCTACAGATTAATAATAATCAATTTGATTTGTTTTCTTTGACATGCAAACTGCAATCAACCATCGTTGACACCGATTGCCCCCGAATGTTTTTTTGTAATCACTTTTTAAAAAATAATTATTAACAACAAGTAAAAATAAATAAAAACGAATGAGACAAAATCTTTTTGTATTGTTAAAGAGTGGTCTTATTAGGAAAAAAAAAAAATAAAAACATCCCGATCCCTTTCTCCTATCTATCCGAAAAAACAAAATCACGAAAATTGACAATTTTTTGGGCCGGTTACACTGAGATGGTTCCTTAATTATCTTGAAGGTTTATCTTATTCCGTAAGTACTAAACGTTCGATGTAAAAGGGAAAATTAATATAAAGCTTCCCCATATAGAATTCTGGTACCGATAATAGATACGCTGGTGCAGCTTTCAAAGAACAAAAAAAAAACCCCATAGAAAAATAGTAGGTAGGTTGTTGGTAGGTATAGGTGATTAATTAGTTAGATTTATGAATTTATCAAAAATTTGAGACCAAAAAAAAACAAAAAAAAACGTAGGGATATTTTTCGATGATTTATTTCTCGTCGTTAGATCATTTTCTCCCTAGTTTCTTCTCGTCTCTCTATAATAGACACAATTTTTTAATCTCTTTTTTTCTCTGTTCGCTTTCTATCATAAAAATTATTGTTCGATCAATCAACATAACCGATCCCGTTTTGGCATATCATATATAAATATGTGTGCCACGAAAAACGGGCGACGGATATGATGATGATGATGATAATGATGATGGATCAATGAGTAAAAACGAATATAAAAATTTGTCAAATTAAATATTATTAGGGTGTTTCGTAATTAGTTTGGTACAAACGAACAAGGGATAATTCTACGTGAAACAAAAAAAAAAAAGATTCAATTAAAAATGTATCCTTATGAGATTTCATTTTGAAGAAAAATACGTTTGAAAATTTGTTAAGTACGCGTGCACTTGATTTCATTTCAGATTTGAAATATTTTTGGTTTTTTTTTTTTTTTTTAATATGGTTTATAAGAATTGTCAGTGTAATGAAATTTCTTGTATCGGCTGTATTTTTAATATAAGTTTTGTTTTTTGTTTTTTAACACTTTCGCTACGATGGGCGACTGTAGTGGCTCTCTATAAGATGCAACTGAGGTACAACGGGCGACTATAGTGGCCCTTCATAAAATATCGCGTATTTTACATACGACGAACATACGACATGTATTCATGTGATTTTAGTGTTTTGTTTCTTTTGATTAAAAATCATTAAATATCAACAATAAAATAACTTCAAAATAAAGTACAATTTTGATACTGTTGCTGCACGTATTAGCAGCCCCCTCGTACAGTAAAAGTAGCACCGCGGAAAATACGCCCATAGCGAAAGGGTTAATTAAAGCTTTTCATTTTCACAATTACAAGCTCAATAAAGTGCATAAGATAATCGATAAATTTGTAAACTTATTTTGTTGTTCTATTGAATCATCTTCTGTTCGCATGTACCAACGGTTGCAAGACACCTTGCGCATATTAAAAAGAAAGAAAGAGAAAAAAAAAAGGAAACCAAGTATTTAATACAATAATTTTCCGGCGAGTGGATAAGAAAATGGATGGCGTGTAAATGAATAATTGACCGTAAGTGAGAAAAAGAGAGAAAGAAAGAGACAGAGAGAGAGAGAGAGAGAGAGAAAGAGAGAGAGAGAGAGAAAAAAAAATTGATGATATTTGAGCGTTAATATAATTAATATATGTATTAATAATCATGAAACCAATAAAGCCATTCTCGTTAGTAAATAAAAATAGGAAGCTTTTCATTTAACAGCAGACGACGCGGGCAAGCGTTAAAGCCACGATTCTTTTAATCAAGCTTGGATTTATTATGCTTCGATGAGAACAATTAATTAGTAATTAAGTCTTATATATATATAATAATATAATAATTAGGAAAAAATATGAGAAAAAATTCGCGGCTGACCATCGAATTGATAAGATTCCTTGGAAAGTTGATCGGCCCGGTTGTTCCTCGCTCGACTTTTCTCTACTTTCGTGTCTTCTCTTTTTTCTTTATTATTTTTTTTTTTTTTTTTTTTTTTTGTTGAAGTGAAAACTTCTTTAAAATTCAGGCTGTGATTTTGAAAATCGTAAAACGGAAGAACGTGAAACCGATGAAACAAAAATCATGAATTAATTCATCAAATTCAATATATCATTTAATTTTCTATATTATTTAATTTTATATATATATATATATAAAAATTCAGTTGTCACAATATGTTTGTCCACTAATAATCTCAAAATTACTCAACTTATTTTAATGAAATGAGTTGTTATTTCACGTGATTTTTTTCCAACTTAGCACATAGCACAATTTTTATCTATTTTTTATGTATTTTTTGAATTACTAATTTAAAGATTTTTATTTAGACGTTATCTAGGTTCTGTAAGATTCTTTCAATAGATGGCACTGTATTACAACAATTCAATTATATTCGATTATATTCACGTCTCGAAGCTTGGTTTTCTTTGAAGGTTTCACTTCTATTGTGTGTGATTTAATTAATTTTTTTCTTTTTTTTTTTTCTTTTGTATAATTCAAAGAAAGATATTTCTCCACGATAATTTCAATGACTATTTTTTTTTTTTTTTTAAATGATGTATGACAAATAATAATAATAATAATAATAATAATAATAATAATAATAATAATAATATATGAGAATTCAAAAGAAGGAGTCCACTCGCCCTTTTCTGATGACGACACGATGCGTTGGTGACGTAATAAGAGGTCAACTAAAAATAATAATCAAATCAAATCAAATCAAAGTTATGTATGTATAATGTATATTTTTTCTTTTTTTTTTTATATATATATAAAACTTACTGTCTTTCTTACTGAAATTATTTTATTGACGCTCGCAAGTCAATTTACATGTACGTAGTACACATTGCGAATCTCGTTAATTAGATTCGTCGAGATATAGAAAACGTATTGTAATTTTTTTTAATTTTTTTTTTTTTTTTTAACGTAAATATATATCTCTTGGCAGTGATTTAAGTTTTGTTTAGAAATGTCGTCGCGCGCAACTGTGTGCGCGGATATCTCGTTTAATTTCATTCAAATTTTAAATAAATGCACTCACACATAATACACATACCCATATATACACACACACATATATACATATATTTATATGTATATACGTAAGTGATGAATATGAAAACGTGCAATGTGTTTTGTATATTGACGCATTTATTAATTTGTTTACTCTGTCCCTATCTCTCTCTCTCTCTCTCTCTCTCTCTCTCTTTTCTCTGAATTAAAAAGAGAGACAGAAAGAAAGAGAGAGAGAGAGGGAGAGATAGAGTAGACCACACACATCGATTTAACGTGTGTTTGAAGGTTTTAAGGTTCTTTTTGTTTCTGATTTTTTTTTTTTTTTTTTTTTTTTAAACAAAAGGGAACCAAATGCGATATCAATCATCGTCTATGATCTGTCAGTTTTTGTTTTTGTTTTTTGGTTCGCATAGTTCCGTGAGTTATCGCCTTTTAATGTTCAACACGTTGTCGTACAATTAAATGCGCTTGTTTCAACACACACGGTTCGATGAGCAGCAAGCAGCAACAAATTGCACTTGTAAACCATAATTAGTGTTAAATGCCTCGTGTACGTCGGTCTTATTTCTCGTCGCGAGACGCCCGACTCTTTTTCACTGTAATAATATAATTACATGCGAATTTCGATCAAAATAAGTTGCATAAACAGTTAAGAATTACCTAAAGACTATTGTAATAATACAATAATAATAATAATAATAATAATAATAACAATAATAATAATAATAATCATCGAATCGACGTATCTATGGAATAACAAATAACACTTTCTAAAATATATTCATAGATATATCTGTCTAAAACCTTTGTTCTAAATATAACACGTACGTAGATAAATTACTTGCTACAATTATTGTAAATAGGTAATAGAAAAAAAAAAGAAAAAAAAAGAAATCAAACTAAAAATATATTCAAACGATTATTATTTTTTTTCGGCGGGGTGGGGGGAGGGGAAATTTGGGGAGAATACGTTTCAACATAACACGTGGATATATCGTGGGAGACGATAAAGATAAGAGAAAGGGGTAGTTGGTAATGGGTCAAAGGGGTGAGGATCTATAATATCTCTTCTGTTGTGTGTTGGGGCTTGCGGATGTTTAGAATAAAGTACGACGACTGACAGTGTTGTTGTTTCTTCTATTTTCTTCTTCGTAATAAAGATAGTCTCGACGGGGAAAATGCGAAGAGTTAGGAGTAATACGAGGAAGAGAATTTGACAAAACGTATATGCACGTCAGCCTAACAGGAAAAAAAGTAGAAGAAAAATCTAAAGAAAAAGAAAAAAGAAAGAAAAAAAAACAATACATACACACACACACACACATATTTGATATCCGTGCGCTTTATCTTCTCCGTCCTGATGGAAGAAAAATGGCGCTAACGAAAATCTGATATACATATATGTTTATGCATATGTATATATATATATATATATATACATATATATTTACATATATGTATATGGTATACTGATAACGTATAATAAGATATATTCTCTTGTTTTCTATCTCAGGCATCTAAAAAAAACACGAAGGAAAAACAGCAAGCAACTTTGGGTTAAAGGATAACTCGGAATTCAGCCAGATGGGGGAAGGGCTCCAACTTACGGTGTTGGATTGGTAAAGTTTGGGTGATTTGATATCAAGTGAAAGAGAGAAAGAGAGAGAGAGGAAAACGAAGGACAGGTGGAAAATACATTGGAAAAAGAAAGGGAAAGGGAAAGGGAGAGAGAGAGATAGGAGTAAGGAATTGAATGGAAATGGGGACACAATACACACCGAACATGGGCACATTGCCAACAAAATCTCGGGCAAATAGGATTAATATATACACCTAACACACACATCACACATACAGCACAGGCAGACCTACGGTCAACAGACCAATCAACTTTCTTGCCTCTTTAGAGTAACCCGTGTCGAATACCATACGGATTGAGGAGCCAGAATCTAAGCCATTGTGTCTCTGTCTGTCTGTCTGTCTGTCTGTCTCTCTCTTTCTTTTTCTCTCTATTTCCTTTTGTTTGAATCTTTTTGTTATCATAGTGTTTCTCTTTGTCATTACAGTCGAGAAAATAAATGGCGTCCCCATGGTATATTCAAACGATGTCATCGCGATTAGTTTTTTTCTTTTTTTCTCTTTTTCTTTTCTTTTCTTTTCTTTTCTATTCTTTTCACGTAGCTCGATTATTCCTGATTATCACCGTCTACTTTTTGTTTACGGATGCATATGGTTACGATTAATATTCAACGTTTGTTACATAGCAAATTAATATAAGCAAGAAAGAACTGAAAGTTTTCATTGGATGTTTTGCATTTTAATTAGACAATCGACCAACCCCCCAAGTGGCTAGAACCTGTTGCTTTTTCATTTTTTTTTTTGTTTTTTTTTTTTTCATTTCAACTATATCAATGAAGTTACGTTTGCAAATAGAACATTTTGATTTGTCATATTATTTTGAATAGAATTATATTAATGTACAATTAAGATATGATTAGAAAAAAATAAAAAGTTATTAATTAAATTCATGATTAACCCTTTCAGCAGAGCATAAGCATTTTGAAATAAACAAATTAATTAATCGTATAATTTCACGTGAAATAATAATTATCTATAATTATTATATCTAGAATAAGATAACACGGTGGTAATCAAGAGCTCATTGAGAATAAGAATTTTGTTAAATCACCAAAGCTACATAGAAATTCGTCATTTTCTTATAACAACGGTGTCAAGTTGTAATGGTTGACCTTGATTCGCCGGTATTCGTCAGGGTTTACCCCGTAATTATAAACTATTATTATTTTAATTCAAACTTCGAACGAACGAACGAACGAACGCCTAATAATATGAACATTTTCAAATAAAAAACCCAAAAAAAAAAAACAACTGTATTTTGTTAAGTGGAGAAGAATATCAGATCAAACGTCATACCAAAAACCGTTCTCAGGGATTTTCATAAAGGAACTAACTCTAGTCGTGTTTAAACATCGACACAGTATATGTTGTTACACAATTCTCGATCGTCTTTAAACCCACGTACACATCCAATTCTATTATTTTTTTTTTTTTCTTTTTTTTGGAAACGCACATGTGTGCTTATGACGAAAGAAAGAAATATATGATTAAAATTAAATTTGGATGTGCCGTAGGTAAAGGCGTCTAATATCGAAACTCGAAATAACACACGGCAATAAAAAAAAAAGAAAACTATTGATTATGCATGTAACCCCTACTACGAGGGAGATAAACGAACTGAAAAGCAAAACACGACAATATTTAAACAATTGCAAAAAAAATAACTGCTGGAGAGGGCTTTGAATTATAACGATAATAATAATAATAATAATAATCATAATAATTATAATAATAGGAACGAAACGATAATAATCAACGATAACAAAGGTTTCAATAATTAACGATCTAGCAAAATATACATTACATATATACATATATGTATATATACGTACGTATATGCATACATACATTTATACTCAAATATGTATATAAATATAATATATGCATAAATGTGTATAAATGAATATATATATATGTATATATGTGTATGTATACATATAGTATATAGATGTATATATTTATATATACTTATATATAAATATATGTATTTATACGTAGAAACATTAAGTTTGAAGTTAACGAACGCTTTAATCAAGAAAGGGCATTTGGCCTTGGTTTCGGGATTACTAGGCAGGCACACCTTGCTGGTTCGGTCTGGTTGGGGCGGTGTCGCCCGACGCTCGTAGTGCCTCTCCGGCTGTTGATAAAGGGGGATCTGCAAACCCATTCGGAAACGTGTTCTCGCAATGCGCCTAGGAGTAGGACGACTTGTATAATTGTTCTCGTTATCTCGTTTCGACGTGTTTATGTGCGTGGGTGTAAGAGACAAGAGGATATTTCTTTCGAGCTTCTTTCATTTCTTTACTTCACATTTTATTTTATTTTTTTTATTTTTTTATTTTATGCTTTTTTTCTTTTCAACGCGTAAATCGTAGATATATAAAATATTATATATATATATATACATTTGCGTTATATATTATATAATGTACATATGCGAATCGATGACGATAATAAATTGAACCGTTTGATTGGTGGTAATATTTGAAAAAAAAAAAAAAAAAAAATAAAAAAAAATAAAAACGTTCGAGATCTAATTCGAATAAAATTATCATCAAACGTTCTCTCCTTTTGATCTTTCATTATTTTCAATTACTATCAATTATTTCTCACGACTTTAGAAATAAATATTAATAACGATTAACCTAACACTTTTTTTCTTTTTTTTTATTCTATGCTTATTTTTATCTCGATTTAATTGATTGATTGATTGATTGATTGATTGTACATAGAGCCAATGATTAAAAAAAAAAATAACAACTTTGTACCTAATGAAATTCGAGATAATAGATAACGCGATTCATTATTATTACTCTCATATTTATGAGTGAATTTTTCGAGTGTCGAACAGAAGAGAAAAGAGAGGTCAAAGCAGAGGGAGGCAAAAGGATAATGTATCAATGCACAAGCGCAATAAATAACATTTAGAATTAAATAGAAAACTGAGATTGGGGTCCCCGAATCGACGAATAAGAAGCCTGATTGATTCGTTGGTCTGTTCGCTGCACGTCACGGTACACTTTCTCTCTCTACGGGCAGAACACAGTAAGGAAAAAAAACGTAAACTTCCATATAATTGAAATATATATATATAATTCTCTACTATTTGATCAACAACTATTATTATTATAATTTATAAATCGATCAAAACGATTTGCATATCACCGTTTTTTTCTTTCTTTTCTCTCTTCTTGTTTAGTTGTTTGTTTGTTTGTTTGTTTTTTTTTTTATATGTATATTTTTTTTCTTTTTTTTTTTTTTTATTATCCTATTCCTCGATACCACCGCACCGAGTGTTGTTTTGCTTTTCGCGTTCGAATTGAAAGATTTCAATCTTGACTGTTTCTTTTTTATTTTTTTATTTTTTTTTCTGTTCAACTTTTTAAAAACTATTTTGTATTTTTTCACGATTAATTAACGATAAAGAGTTTTGAAGAATCTTTATATTTATTTGATTATATATTGAATAATGTTTTTTATTAGCTCCATAGAAACAGAACATGCTCTTTTCGTTTTTTTTTTTTTTATTTTTTTTTTATTTTTTTTTTTTTATTACCGATCAGATATCTACCAGGTTGGTAGAAACATGCCGCGATTTTGTATATAATAAATATATTACAATTTTATGAATACTTCAAATCGAATCAAATTTTCAATTTTCTATTGGTAAATCAATGTTCGATTGAAATTTAACATCGAACTTATCGACATCGATTTAATCTCTTCATTTGTTTAATAAATGTTTCTCTTCTATTTTTTTCTTTTTCTCGATTAAATGCAGATAATAATAGTTAACCCTTTCGCTACTATGAGCCCTACACTATAGTGGTCCTACATAAAATGCCGCATATTTTAAATATGACGAACATATGCAGTTATAGCACTAAGTCAAATATCCCATTATGGATGTGTAATTTTAATGTTTTGTTTGTTTCAATTAAAAACTCTTAACACTTTAGTTAGGGACCCTATAGGAGGGACGCGCCATGTACATTGCTAAGCTGAAAATGTGGGGGGACAACTTCCGTTGCATAGCGCAGCCATGTTTATCTTTTAGTATGTATTAACGGCTGTGGTTAGTTTAAGTTTGAAATACTTATAGTTTTTATTGTGATATTTATATTTAATTGTTTTTTTTTTTAATAGTTTTCTATAAGTGTAAGTTTAATTTACTCATGTAATAATTACAAGTGTATAAATGTACAAAGCTAACCTATAACTTATCGTTTGAATCATTCTCGCGCAATCACGTGACTACACGAGTTTCTGTCCCCCAGCAATGGCGCGTCCCTCCTATAGGGTCCCGACACTTAGCCAACCACGCGCGTCGCAGCGAACTGTAAAAGCAGTATTTAAAAAGTAAAGCACTGCTTTTTTTTTCTCCATTTCGTGGTTTTTCAATGAATATTATAATAAGACATATATATTGGTCTGCACGATCATGTAATAATTACAAGTGTATAAATGTACAAACCTAACCTATAATTTATCGTTTGAATCATTCGCGCGTAATCACGTGACTATACGAGTTCCTGTCCCCCAGCAATGGCGCGTCCCTCCTATAGGGTCCCTACACTTAGCCGACCACGCGCGTCGCAGCGAACTGTAAAAGCAGCATTTAAAAAGTAAAGCACTGCTTTTTTTTCTCTCCATTTCGTGGTTTTTCAATGAATATTATAATAAGACATATATATTGGTTTGCACGATCGATCCCTTTCATATATTTGTCTGCATTGAAACGGGGGAGATCTCCTTGATCGGTCGAACACCGATCTACATTGAAACGGAGAGATCTCTCCGATCGGTCGGCTAAGTGTAATAATATCAAGAAGAAAATTAACTTACTCAAAAATAATGTGCAATTTCGATATTGCACGTATTAGTAAGCCTCGTAAAGTAGACGTAGCGCACCGTAGCGAAAGGGTTTTTTTAATTAGATTTTTGATAAATTAAACGAAAGACAATTTTTATTAATAAAATGTTCATTTGATGCGATAAGTTTAATGTTAATTTCGATTGAGTTGACAATTTTTATAAAGAGCACATTGTCTAAAAGAAAAAGATCAATTATTATATATGTATTTATATAAAAAAAAAGGAATAACGTAATAGATTTGTACCACGTATGAGAAATCGACATAGTCTTTCACCAACCTGACGCTATCGATCTCATTAACGTAATCCTTATTTGAGCAAGGTGAATCCATTGGACTATTTAAATATATATTATTTATTTTAGATGAGATATATATATATAGAAAAAAATATGTTTTGAAGAAATAAAAAAAAAAAGAAAAAATAAAAAAAAAATTCTTATTCATTGAAATAATTCAATGGTAGACGAAAGAGACCAACGAATTCACCTTTGCATTTATCTCTTATAATCAAGCAAATTACCACCTCTTACCTTGTCGCTCATAAATATTTTTTGAATCGATCCAAATCGTAGTAAAGTTCGTTTTTCCAAATTGTAAACAACACATTATATAAACGAATATGATAAATGATCAAGGATAAATTTGCAATTTTTCACGTATCATCGTGACGCAATAATCGAAGTAGGAAAAGTAAGTTTTTTCATTTAAAAAGAATTAACAAATGATCTCGCGTTGAATAATGATTGTAAGATTTTCAAATTTGTCAATTGAAATTTATCAAACAATTTGTTGCATCGTAGTTTGTCATCTGATTCTGTCACGTTTCTTCTATCTTACTCTCTCTCTCTCTCTCTCTCTTTTTCTACTTCCACAATTGCAATAACGATTCTTTCTATTATAATTGTCATTTATATCAGAAATGTTAATAATGACGTAAAAATCGAAGCACGAACTTTACCTTGGATCGAATCACTTTCTCTAACTTTATAAAATGGCGACAATATCGAAACGTTGACTTTATACAAGGGACATCTTATGTGTATAATATATCAAAATAAAATAAGTGATCAAAAAATGATGCCATATAATAAATGATTAAACACTCACATAGACCTCTTCCCATTGCGAGACATACCGCACCAGTCTTGACAAGCGTAGTAACCTAACGAGGGATAACAGTTTTGCAAGCCTGAGAATCCTGAGAGCACGTCCAGCATGCAGGATCTGGAAGGACTCACTGAAGTCCTGAAACTACAAAAAAATTACCATCGATAGCGACGATTATCCTAGTTTCTTTTTTTCCTTGACAAAATTTTCTATTGCACGTAGAAAAAATAAGGAAAAGGGATAGAGACAATTAAATCAAAAAAAAAAAAAAAGAAAAAAAAACAATTGGCTATACTTACTTGATTAAAAATGAGGAAAATATAGTCTAGTGGTATGGATGAGATGAGGTCGAGAAAGAACCAAGTCCTGAGGTAGTGTTTAGCGATTAACTTGGGATCCAATATCACTTGTTCGGCGTTATCTTGCTGCATTATACCTGCGTGACAAAAATAAAGAAGAAAATCGATTCGTGATACTATTTTCTTTTACTTTTTCGCATCCTGTTTTCCTTATCTTCCTTTTTTCTCTATTTTTTGTTCTCTCTCTCTCTCTCTCTCTTCCTTCCTTTTTAAAATAACACTCCAGCAAAAAATAAAGCGATGACGTCGTGATTTCGAATTGAAAATTGTAACAGTAGTGGTAGTGGTGGTGGTGGTGGTGGTGGTGGTGATGGTTAGTGGTGCCTTTTATTGCGCGTACCCAACGACCAATTTAATTAGCCTTTGAGAGTAGAATAGCATCGTCGTGTCTTTGTCGTTGTTGTCGTCGTCGTCGTCGTTGTGGTCGTCATCGTCAAGCCCGTGATCCGACGATGATAACCTCTCAAGGAGATACGAAAACGCAGACTCCGATAATAATCTGGATCAAGAATTTATAACAATTGCGAATCGACGACGGCAACGGCGTACGAACAACGCGTACGTACAGTGGTGCACATGGGCTTGATGCGCTCATACGTAACGTTTTCCATCGGTGTCAGGCTCGTGACCTAATTCCGCCCTTGTACCGACTCGAACGTGGTTCAAATTAATCCCTGTGCAATAACGAAATGTCAAGGAGTTCGCTGGAGTTGGAATCAGTGACGTTCTCTCGACTTGCTAGACAATAACATCGTTGTATATTGCACTTAAGATCAACCATCCACCACCCCCTTCCCTCCTCCTCCTCCTCCTCCTCCTCTCTTCTCCCTGTCTTTTTGATGATGACCCGAGTCGCAGGTGGCGCTTAAGGTATTCCTCTCTGTCTCTCTCTCTTCTTGTTATTCGTCTCGATTCTTTATCGATAGGGTGTATCGATAACATTTTGATCGCGATTCAAAAGATCATCCGGTTGTCAATTGTGAAGAGGAGAGTTATCGAACGTTTTTTCAAAGATTCCAAATTTCAATTGTTCAATGTACCTATATATGTATATATTATATATGTGTTTGTTACTTACCAGTTCTAAAGTTTACGACGATGTCTATGAGGAATATCGTGTCGGAAAGGCAGTTGAAGGCTATCCACCTAGTGCTTAGGTCGTCATTGAAAAAACTAATGGCAACTGGCAGAATTATCAAATTAGCAACCAAAAGGAGGAGCATGCAGAGGTCCCAGTAAAATCTGAAATCAAAGTTAAGTATCGAGGTGTCAGCGTTATTTTCATTTCCTTCATTTCGCGCTTATCTTCAACTAACTAGCTAACTTTGGATTAAGTCTAGAAGAGAAGAAGAAGAAAGTTATATAGAAAGAAGGCCGTGATCATCATCGTGTTGAGCAAAAAAAGGAAAGAATTTCTCTCTCTTACTCTTTCTTACTCTCTCTCTCTCTCTCTCTCTCTCTCTCTCTCTCTCTTCTCCTTCTCTAGTGATAAAAGCCAATTTCTGAAAGTTCAGCTTTAATCAGTTCGATTCTGGTCCTACCGACAGCATTGGCCCACTTTTCCAACTAATAACGTTGCTACATCGGCATCGATATGAGTATATGTATGTACTCGTGGTGTGCTTGTTAGAATTTCGATACACACATAGATACATTGCTGCCACTCGAATGTAATATTCACAAACGAACAATGTTTTTTTTTTGTTTTTTTTTTTTCGGTTATAATGTGTCATCCACAAAACCAACGTAGAATAAGTGTACAACTATCTGCCTATTTATTACAATTTAGATACTAAAGAAGAACCTGTATATATTTATATACGTAATTATTTAATAATTACATTTACAATAAACAGAAGGAGTAGTAGCAGTAGTAGTAGTAATAGAAGTAGTGGCAGGAGAACGAGGTGAAGAAGGAGGAGGAGGAGGAGAAGGAGAAGGAGGGTGGTGGTGGTGATGCCTTTATGAAACACATCGAAAAGGGGTAAGGCGAGAGTTCGTGGAAGGCTTTCGTGCACTTGGGGAGTACTCGAAACTTTGAGAGCTCCGTCAACTCGCTGAAGCCGACACTCGTGAAATGAAGAGTGCGTGAGTTGATGCGTACAACGGTGCTGGTGGTGTTGTGCACGTGCCCGACACCTATTTTTCTTTTGAAATAATAAAATATATATTTTTGTTTATACATATTCATATGCATATTAATTAACGTTTTTTTCTTCTCTCTCTCTCTCTCTCTGTATTTTTTGTTTCTCATTTAATAAGTAACATGACGTTAAAAAAGAGAATCCATGAAAATGGTAGAGAATGAGGAGGGGGGGGGGAAAAAAAGAATAGAAGAAAAATGATATTCTAATCGTATTCGAATGCAAACGCGCCACGTTTTCACATCGTCATATAAACTGACCTAAAAGCCTGAAAAGATTACGGCTTAACAGTAGAACGATATACCTTACTTGAAATTTATGAGCCTTCTCTAACGAGCATGCTTTCCTGGATGCTGCGACTACGACCCTTCCGGGAATTTCTCACAATTTATCAGCTTCAAAGCTTTCACCCACAAATATGTTTTTTCTTTTACGTTACGTGTCATCTTTACTTTCGTTTTTCTTCTCTATGAGAGGGGTGACTCGTTTGCCTCTCATTTTTATTCTCTCATTAAGCTTATTCGCGCATTTCTTCAATGTAATAAAAGAAGAAAAGAAAAACATCCCATTGTCGCACTAATATCGTATTTTGCTTTATCACCTATTAAAAGCCATAAATTTGTATAGGTATCTATCTATATATATATATATAAATCTTATCGACATTGAATACACAAAAGTTGATGAATTTTGTAGAATGCACTTTACCGAATGAGAATTCATCCGCCCACTTAAATAGATATATCTACATACATAGTTACGATATATATCCTGTGTACTATATATGTACGGAACGGAAGCAGATTATTTTAAGGAATACCTCTTCTATTCTCGAAGGTCTTTTAAAGGGAAATACTATTCCATAAGAGGCGAACGTTAAATTCTACTATCCTTTCTCCTTTCATTATCAACGTGGATTAAAGTGGAGAGCATAAGTTCAATTTACGATCGTAACGCTTTTGTATCTGTTTCAATAATGTTCTCGAGAGACCAAAGAGAGAGAGAGAGAGAGAGAGAGAGAGAAGATAGTCTTCGTGTTAACGACTATCAAAGCTTACGAATGAGTCTGCCTTATTCTACTATTCATGTATGTGCATGTATAAGTGGTGCACGCACGCACGACAAAGAAGATTCGTAAGTTGTAAATTTGTAGATAAATTTATTCGTATTTGATACTTCATACACATATGTCATCATTACATCGATTAGCGCAAGGATCATCATGAAACATTGGCCAGTGTACACTCGACTAACATACACGTGTACATACTCGAACAATACGCGGGGTCGTCTATTGTCTGACAGAGGATGCTGACATAACTAGAAGCACGACTATTATTTTTATAGACTCAACACGCGTGCTCGCTCTCTTATTTTCTGTACTCTAAAGCAAAATTTCGTCCTATAATCTGATATACCATCGACATTTTGCCAACCTTTACTTTTGTAACGTTTTTGTAAGATCGAATCAACTACGCTAACTTTTTCCTTTTTTTTTTTTTTTTTAATAAAATAAAATGAACAAAAATATATGTTTAAAATGAGTAAGATATTTGTACGAGAAGAATCATCTGCAGTATCTTTGCGTGTCGCGCGTGTCCTGTTAAGACTCTTCTATTATCGGATTATGAAGGTAATCCGATTAAATGGAAAAGACATTTAATCGGATATAATGGTAGTCGAGGTATATACATCTACTATTGAGAAAAGAGAAGGCGAGAGAGAGAGAGAGAGAGAGAGAGAGAGAGAGAAAGGTGCTAAAGAATAAGAGTAGAAAATCTCGTTTTATCTATCTATAATATTTGATGTGACGGCGCTGGTGAAACGGTGTCGCGGTTGGCCTAGTATCAGCTGTAAGAATGATCTCAGAATAATCATCTGATTAAGCCAGAGGCTAGTGTGTCAGTGCGGACACGTCGCTGAGTTGGTGTACGTGCTCGTTCAAGTACTCGTGAACTGTGTGTAAATACACACACCTATTGTAACATCGTCGATACTTCCCCTCGTCGAATGATCCCTTGATAAGTTAGTATACATTATGAATCAAACTCTATTCAATCATTCCAAAGAATCGAATTTTTTTTTTTTTTTTTCCTTCAAACATACCACCATTTTTCTTTACAACATTTCAACAAGATAAATACGATAAAACGTTAGACGCGTTGCAAAACATTGTCGCGGATAATGTAATACAATTACATTCCAAAGTATTTGCATATATCTTGAAAACGATAAGCATATAGGAAACGATATGCTTTATATGCTTCTCACATAAACGTATTCATGTATTACGCGTGCATCATGTATTTGCGTATTCCCTCGGGTCAATTAAGACATCTCCGAGTTATTCTACAATATCCTACACAATGCTGCGCAGTCATATTAGGTACTTCTACCAATGTTAATCGAATGTTAGTTTGTTTTACTTGCTTACATGTGTTCTCTTTAGTTCTATTTGATAATCTAATGTAATCTAATGTAATTCGAAATAATCCAAAGAGATATTGATTCATTAAAAAATATACTAAAACAACAAAATATCAATTGCATCGAATGAATATAATAAATGTTCGGAAGGTGGAAATGACAGAGAGAGAGAGATAGGAAACGAGAGAGCAAAAGATAGAGAGAAAGAAAGAAAAGAATAGAACATCGAAATGACTTTTCTTTATCAATTATTTCCTCTAATAGAAATGTACCGTTCCTCGTTTCTCTCTTGCTATAACGAAAACTGGAAGTGAATTTAACGAGGCACAATAACGAGCCATTTCGATCGACTTCTCGTTAGACCTTACGAGCAAAACGTAGAGAGAATCCTATCTCTTTTTCTTTCTTTTGTAGGTTTTGCGTTAGGCGAAAATAATCGTGCCTTTTTTATTGTTTCCTGATCGTATCCTTTCTGCTATATATGACGTTCCTCGTGAAAACTGACTGGCTTGTTGGTTGGTAAGTTAGCTCTTCTCCATCCGTAAAATTTCTTATTTTATATTGAAAGAAAATAAAATAAAATTAAAGAAAAGAAAAGGAAAGGAGAGGTAAAGAAATGAATAAGAGTTGGGTTTTGAACGAAAGAGAAAAATAGTTTGATCGTTCGCTGGTCGACGCTTTTTCCCGATCGAGAACTTTGCATCCAATCAGAGCGATGATCACGTGAACGGTTATTACATAAGAGGACTAAACGGGCTCTGCGCACGGGTTCGCGCAGCAGTAGGAAACCATAGTTTAAATTTGCAAACTACCTAATGATAGGGCAGACCTGAACAAGGCCTCTGCAATTTTCAACTGCCGTTGCTCGATTCTCTTCGCTGATATCCCAAGATTCGTCTAAAGATAATGACCATGGACACTTGTTCTTTTTTTTTAACCATCGATCATAAATATTATCCTTTTATTCGCGTTGTCTTGGTCAAAGTTGTCATTCGTCGTCGTCGTCGTCGTTGTTTCGACTTTTTTATGCGAAACAAATTGGCATATACGAAGAATTATGAGTTTTTTTTTTTTTTTGTTTTTTGTCGAATCATAATTACAATTGTAATAATTTTTGACAAATTAATGGGTTTATCGATAAAAAGTAACGAGTTACATAAAACGTCAATTGCGTGCGGCGTCTCTTATTCTTTTTTTTTTTTTTTCTTTTTTTTTCCTCCAACTAATTTACTCAGTCCGGAGGTATTGCCTTACAAACAGGAGAGATTCCAACTATTTAAAACGGAATAATAATCCACATTGGAGAATATTATACGGATAGACTTAAGTGGATTCAATTCTACGATGCTATTTAATACAGCTTCAAAACTTTCATGCGTCAGACGCCTTTAAATACAACATGTCCGTAACAGTAGAACGGAAGATGTTAACGACAGAAAAATTAACGTGACTGCGATGTCAATGTTGAATATATACACACTGGCGATCACTGACTATTTTTAATAGTATGTCTTTGAAAAAAAAAAAGAAAATAATAATAAGATTTATTATCATACATGTCAACGGATTATTCTTCAAAAAAGATAAATCGACAAATGCGAAAGCGAGAGAGAGAGAGAGAGAGAGAGAGAGAGCGAAACAAAACATTAGATAAAATATTCAAAAACAAAA